CCCCCGGCCCCCGGGCGGGCCCGGCGGCGCGCGCAGCCAATCAGCGTGCGGGGAGCTTGGGGTGTGAGCCGCGCGTCGGGGGCCTGGAATCGGAAGGGAGACGTCGCTTGCTGATTGGTCCCGCCTCCCCCGTCGAGCGTGAGGCGAGGCGAGGCGAGGCGAGGCAAGGCAATTTACAGCGGGGCCGGGCGGGGAGGAACGTCGCGGTTTCGCATGAGTTCGTTTCCGACGCGCTCCCACTCGGGCTCCGGGAAGGGAAAGGGAAGGCCGCTAGCCTGCCGCGCCGGGAGGACGAGCCTGCCACCGTTACGCCCCCAGCCTCTCACCAGCGCCCTTGGGTGTGTCCTGAGGGGTCGCCGCCCCGTCCACCTTCCGTCGTGAATCTGGGAGTGGACACGTGCTCAAATCCCAGGAGACCTCTGGCTCGCCCTCGGGAGAAGCCGCGCGGCGGGGAGAAAAAGGGTCTGAAGAAGTCGAGGTTGTGGGCCCGCGGCTGGGCGCGCCCATATGCAAATGTAGGGGGCGGGGCAGAGATGTAAATGAGCCCAGAACCAGGATTGCCTCGGTGTGTTTAGGGCCAGACTCAGGGATGCCAGGTGGCTTTTTTTGTTTGTTTAACCTGTATTTTGGTTCCACCTTCAGGAAAAGTAGTATTAATGGTGCACGTTCTGAATGTTCCTTGTGACATCTAAAAGACAAGCCATCGGCATGATGCCCCTTAATTGTTGGGTTATCTTGTCTTCCCCTTCATTTCTTTACTGTTAAGAACTTAAATCACATCTGCCCTACAGGAGGCAACAAGGCCCTAAAGTTAGGGCTGTCCAAGAGGGGTGTGACCATGCTCAAGAGTAACCTTACATCTCTTACCTTGGGTACGTCCAAACCACAGCTGACAATTGAGCCCAACTAATTGTATTAAGTATGTATTAAGCACCTATTGTGTTAGGCAGGGAGCGCTGTAGAACTGAAAGTTTAAAAGAAGCTAAGTTCTCACCCAGGTGGTTGGTGGCAAAGACAGGGCTAGAACATGGTATTCTTGGCTGCCAGTCCCGCACTCCTTAGGTACTCATTGCATGGATTTAATTGGGTACTCTAGATAAACAAGCAGAAAGCATCACTGGCTTTACAAATCAGTAATTAAGAAGTACCAATGAGCAGTCAGAAATAAAGGCATCCCAGAAGAGGCTGCCTTCAGATGGACCTTGGGAGATATTCAGCCTTCTCCTGCCCAGATGTCCCTTCAAAATCTGCATTTCCACAATTTTTTAAGAGTTTTTTTTTTTTTTTTTTACTATAGTACGTATGCACTCACCAAAGAGACAGAGAAAGTGAGAAATCATCCCCCAGGGGTCATGGCCATGCTGCAATCCCATCTCTATTCTCCTGGAATTTTGGGCCTGGATGCACATGACCCCAGTGTGAGTGCCCTTGAACTGTGGTAGGGCCAGTGCCTTAGCCAGCGCATTAATGCCACCTGCTGGCTCCCATTTCTGCCATTTCTTTCCACTATCATGGAAATACTTTTCTCTTGGAAAGGTGACTAGCATGAACCCCAGGGCAAGGCAAATTGTAGTTTAATCAACAATTTTTTGGTTTTGAAAATGTTTATTCTATGAGCAAGAGAGATAGGAAGAATTAGACAGTACTCCTACCAGAGTCTTCACCCAGAGTTCTTACTACACCTTCAGCCAGCCTGGGATCATGAGATCTTGTGATCTTGCCCAATCTCCTCGGGGAATTCTCCCCACTTGAATCCAGAACTTTCATGGAGGAAACCTCACAGTCCCAGGTTTTACTGCTGTATCACTGTCCTGCCCTTAGATCAGACTTCTGAATGCAGCTTGGTTCCCAATGGTCTTTGGTAAGTGGAACTCAACTACTATGCTTAAATATAGTTGTATGATGATAAAAATAATAAATATAAAAGTAAATAGCACAGGGCTTTAGGGACCAGCAGATAGTGTAATGACTACTTCACTGGACTCCTATGTAGTAGACCACAGCTCGAGTCCTGGACCCAGTAACTTAAACTCACGCTGGGTGCGTGCGTGCCCAAGATCCCAAGAGGAGAATGGAGGAGGTGGGATTGCAACACAGCCATCCTCCCTGGGGAGTGATTTCTCACTTTCTTTCTCTATGTCTCTGTCTTTCTGGCAAGTTCATGCACGTGACCTACAGAAAAAAAAGAAAAAAAACTCTCCCCAGAAAAAGTAAATAGCACAGGACTTTGAAGTTGAAGTGTCAGTTTTCATTAACTCCTGTTGTGTGCATTTATGCTAAGATGAACATACTGGGCAGAAGTTCTTCCTTTAAAATTTTACTTCAAGACCAGCAGATGGAGTGGTGGTTAAGGTAGCTGGATTCCCACATGGCTGACCATTGTACAAACCAGCAGCTTCAAAATCACAGCAGATGCATGTACATGCGTGCCCAGAATTCAAGCAGAGAATAATGAAGAAGAGATTGCATCATGGCATTCCCCCTGAGGATTGAATTCTCACTTTTTCTCTCTGTCTCTCTCTTTTTTTTTTTTTGGAGAGGTTTTTTTTCCGCTATAGGGCATGTGTGCTCACCAGACAGACAGAGAGAGACATAGAGACAGAAAGCGAGAAATCACCCCCCAGGGGAGATGGTCACGCCGCAATCCCTTCTCCTCCATTCTCCTCTCGGGATCTTGGGCACGCATGCACATGCACCCGGTGTGAGTTTTAAGCCACCGGGTCCAGGACACGAACCACGGCTGACTACACGGGAGACAAGTGACATAGCCGTTACGCTAACTGCTGGTTCCCTCTCTCTGTCTCTCTAAGGCAAGTGATATGCCCTATGCCAAAAACCTTTAAAAAAAATAATTTTTTTACTTCTAGAATGATTCCTTCCATTGTCCATTTAGGGCAGCTCTACTAACTCATTTTTTAAAATAACTTAGGACAGAGCCCCAGGAATCCAACTGGTGGAGCTGTTTCACCACCTGTGCCTTTTGCTTTCTGGAGCCACCAGGGAGGATGGTATAGGGCGAAAGACTGCTCGACTTTGAAGTAAGAAGGCTGTTTCTGGTTTTTGTTCTCTCCTCTTGCTAACACAGGTCAACAGGTTTATTATGAATGGTGTAAAAGTATCCTGCTGTTCTAGCCCTTCCCATTGCTAATTACAGAAACTATCTGAATCTGGGTAATTTCAGAGAATAAAAGTTTATTGAGCTCATGGCTTGGTGGTCCAAACCCCCCCTCTGGTGGGGATTCTTCTCGCTGCATCGCAACATGGCAGGAGACAGGAGAGAATGGCCTGTGTGCCATGTGTCTCTCTGGGCCTCGTTTCCTCTCATACACCCACTAGGGGGCTCCACCCTAATCATTTCATCATTCCCAAAGGCCTCCTCTTTCAACATCGTAAAGGAATTAAGTTTCTTCTTGATACCTTCACAACCAAACCTCAACACATGAATTTTGGGGAGATATAAACCATAGCATCTGGGCCATACAAAGACTTTCTACTTTGTGATCAGGGTTTAGATTTGGGTGTCCAGCTGGGCAGTAGAAGTAGGAACAAGAGCAGGACTGATAGGCATTCAGAATTTGCTTCTCATACAGGAGTTAGGTACTTTGAGATTACATTAATTCTGTGAATAATAAGCCTGAGGTCTAAGTTCATCTCTCCAAAGTGAAATAATCTGGGTCCCTAACTCTTCCATTTAGAAAGCCTTCCAGGATCTATAGAATGAAGGAAAGGGAAGGACAGGCAACCTGGCTATCAATGCAGTCTCCAAGGGGCTTAGAAATTAGAGCATGTCTACTATCCCCTCTACTAGAAATGCATCTAAACCAAAGTGGGTCAAGACAGAAACTGAAGACACATAGAGCAGGGATTGCCATGGCAACAATCAGCTTAGAAATCCACAAGAGTACTCAAGATCTATCAGTAGGTCCCTGTTGTATAAATTATATTAAGTAGGTCTTAATTTTATATGAATAGACAAATTTAACCCTTCATTACATGTGACAGTGCAAAATCAATAAAATCTCAGTTCAGAATCCATTTCAAAATAGCTAAATGTACTAGAAAGACATAAGAAAAATGGTTAGAATGATTACTCCACAAAGAATTTGAATCATGAATGAAAAACTTAAAATTTCATTATTCTTCAGTGGTTTGATTTTTAAAAATATATCTATGTGTTGATTTTTCAAAAGACACAACTCACATTGTTCATCCATTCTCTGATAAATCTATAAAGCCCTTTTTGACTCCTCCAGCCCCAAATTACACTACTCACCCATAAATTTCCTCTTACAGTCTGAATGATAGACACATCATGGCTTTGTTTTGATTAATGTCTTGATCTGTTAGTTTAGTCTTGAGCAGTTTCTTACATGTGTATATTTTGTCTTCCCATCTAGCTTGTAAATTCCTGAAGGACAAGGACAGCTAATTCTCAGTTTATCTCCCAACACCCTTACTGAAATACAAATTGAAGAAAGGTAAAATACAACATTGGAATCACAGAAATGCTGTGTGTATGTCTGCAAGCATTCTACACAGCTTTGTCCCAGCCTGCCATTTTGTAGTTGCCCTTAACTCAACTGTTAGGTCTCCTGTCAACATCTAAGCTTTGCATTTGTTCATCTGGGTGGAACTATGATACACTGAGCATATTACATCTTAAGAAAAAATCCAGTTATTTGTAACTGAAAGGACACTGATTAAATGGTTAAAAAAATAAAAAAACCAAAGTAAAAATTGCAAAGAACAAATGTGTGGAGTTTAGACAGGTGGAGTAACAACCCTCTGTGATGCTAGACACACATGGCAGGGCCCAGGTTTTAGTCAGAGGTCTCCCTGTGCATGCCAGGCATGCACACATGCCCACAATCCAGGCTGGCTGGAGGTGGATCAAGGGTAGGAATTCTCTGTTGGAGGTACCTCTCTCTATCTCTCTCTCTCTCTCTGAAGAAATAAAACAAACTTAGATATGTAATGTTACTTTTATTGTAAATAATAACGATTAAGTGGATTCTGAATTGATTCAAACTTGATCACTTTTACAGTGTCAAGTGTGATAATAAAGGGTTAAACTTGTCCTATGTCTTTGAAACTCTGGGTATCTTATGCTCACACGTGGCACACTTCAGTTCAGACTAGCTACATTTCCAGTGCTCGGTAGCCGCACATGACTAGCGTTATCATATTGGATGGTGCAGGGCTGTTACATAAAGAGCAGTCCATTTATTTTTACTGTATTGAATGAATGAATGAATCAAGCATGGGTCTGAATTGGATGTGTAGAATGGTGCCCTCACTAGCTGGAAGACAATGGATGGGAGGCCATAGATGAGGGAAGATCAGCTCTGCAGGCTCTGATTGGGAGAAAAATACATGGCAAAAGAAGTTAACTGTCATCTTTCTCCAGGCTTCTGATTATCATTATTATGTATATACTTAAAGTTATACAAAGACATACAGGATCATTGGAT